GATATTTTAAGAAAATATTAAAATGACATTAATCTTTGCGTCGTTGCTCTTCTTTTTCTTCCTTGTAAAATTGAGATTTTAAATAACGCGCAAATAAAGTAAAATTGTAGCGTGCCAACCTAAGAATCCCAGTCGGTGAATTTTATTTGACCATCTCTCTTTCTTATTAAACATTACACACAAAAAAGGCTACTATTTTATTAAAAATTTGAGACGTTATCCTAAAACAAATAAACGGCTTCTCAGACGTCCCAAAAAGGAGTAAACGTCACGCTGCTCAGTTGATTCACCTGTTTTGCCGCCGAACTCCTCCCTCCACCCCCTCCCACTCAACCACCAACCCCGGCATGGACAAGGCATTTGTGTTTGGGTCGTATCGTCGTCAAATTTGACTGAGGCTTGAGTCCAATTTTTTAACTGGCTTTAAAAAAAATGGAATTTGACAGCCAACAAAACACTGAACCCGTGGAGTACACTTGGGACAGCCAAGACAGTGGTTTTCAAGAGTCTCAGCAATCGCAGCAGCAACCAGAATACTGGGGCCGGCTCTACCCGATGAGGTCGTCGCTTCGAAAGATTGGTAAGGTGTCCTTTGTTGTAGCTTTCACTAGCAGTTTTTACCATTGCCATTGTTTTTACCTTAAGATTTGCTTTGTTTTAGTCACTTAATATTATGGCGTTGTTTAACCGCTTGGTAGTCATGAGCTTTCCGTGAACTTCTGTAATTCTGTCAGGTTCTCATTCAATTTTTATGTACCCACAGACCTAGTAAACAATTCTGTCAAAGTTGGAGTGGCACGCTTCAAAAAGATCGATGATCATCTAGAAGTTGGTGCTGATGTTGTTTTGGAAAGAAGCGATCTTCCGACAAACACATTTCTTAAGTGCAGCAGGGTACATTTTGAAATCCGAAGGGTAGAAGTTCGAGTTTTGGGTGTTCATACTACTCAAGTGAGAATCTTTGACCGGAGCACCAATGGAACCTACATTAATGGGCACTGCATGAAAAGATGGTCTGATGCTCTTAAATGGAGAGTACTGAAGACCAATGATGTAATTGGTTTTCCCGATGGGAAGTCAGTGCCAAACTATGATGGTAATTTGTGCTCAGCCTTTGATGAAGTAATAATTGATGTCATTAAACCACTTCTGCTTCTATTCATTCCGTGCTTTACCGCTTTGCAGCATTTATATTTATTGACCCTTTGGTATCAATCTCTAGTCAAATACCCTACTCTATTCGTAAAAAATATCAAGTGACTGTTAGACTTGGGGCTGGCACCTTTGGGGAAGTATCACTGGTGTTTGACAAGGTTAGTAATACTATCTATTACCCTCATGTACTAAGTGCCTAACATGTTGTTAAAGTTGTTAACTTTTGTTGTCTTAGGAAAATGGGAAACCTTGTGCTATGAAAACTATTCTTAAAGACACATTTGTCAATAACCGCATGTTGAATAGTCTTCAGAAAAAATTAGTCAATGAGTTAGATATACTTCAGTCTGTAAAACATGTATGTATGAACATTTTTTTACAATCTTCTTTGTTTTGAAAATGTTTATTATAATACCTTACTATGTGTACTTGCAGCCCAATGTCATCCAGCTTGTTGACGTTCTTGATTGCAAAAAAGAGCACTTTTTAGTATTAGAATATATGGAAGGGAAAGATCTTGAGCACCGGCTGGAAAGAGCAAGACAAAACAATGAACAGCTCGAGGAAAAATTGTCAAAGCTCTACTTTTACCAAATACTTCAAGGAGTTCAGTATCTCCACAGACAGGGCATCATCCATAGAGATCTCAAGGTAAGAACATCATCCCACAGAGTAGAACACAGAATTTTCAAAATTTAATTGATGATGAGAATGAATATTCCTTATGCAGCCAGCCAATATTCTGTTAGCAAGTGATCAGAAGGAAACCATCTTAAAAATTACTGATTTTGGTTTATCTAAAGTCTTATCACCTGCAACTATGATGAAGACACTTTGTGGAACAAAGATGTTCCTTGCACCCGAAGTTATTGAAGGGGCAGGATCCTATGAATATACAGAGCAAGTGGATGTATGGTCCATGGGTGTCATTTTATATTTGTGGTGAGTGAAGTCTGTGGAGTATTGCTATTTTGATCTATGATATTATGATAACATAATTGATACCATATATCTTCTTAGTTTATCAGGTGTTGAGCCATTCTACACTGACACCGGTAATGTAGATGAACTAATAAGGGAAGCAGTATTTGATCTGGATTCGACGGACTGGAATAATACATCGGAAGATGCGAAGGCTGTGATCAATAGAATGTTAACTAAGGACCCTAATGAAAGGATCAGAGTTCGAGAAATTTACCAGATGCTTTGGTTACAGGTATTTAAGTTTTTCAATTGTAAAAACATCAATGGTCTTACCAGATTGCAGAATGTTATTTTTCTCTTCCACAGGATGAAGAAATGATTGAAAAAGCTAATGAATTGTATTCAGTTCTTGATTCGAGTAACTCTTCAAGCAGCACCATGACTGTGGACTCAACATTCAGTTGCAGTGTTGAAGAAGATAGCCTTGCAGGGTTTCCAAGTCCCCCTTCTAAGAAGCGCAGAACACTTTGAATTTGCATGACAAAAGTTCCTAATTACTTTTAAATTTTTATGATATCATTTGTGTTTTACTTAATTTTTGTTAATGTTCTCAAATATATTGATAGAAGATATATGGTAATTTTTTGACCTCAGTTAAAAATTAAAACAATTAGTAATAGATAAATTATTTATTATTCACTTTTTCCCTTTTCCAAACTTTTCAAATTCCAAACTTAGCAGTGGGTTTTTCTTCTTAGCCTGCAAACAAATATACATTGAAATATAGCTTCCCCAAAGAAAATTTGATGCTTCACTGCTCATAGGCTGCAGTACTTACATTGAAATGTTCCTGAGATGAGTTTTTGTTGTAATATGCACGACGTTTTCGGCTAGTACTGCTAATACCAGCAAGTCTTTTTAAAGCATCTGGTACAATATACTCAGGCACATCTGCTAAATGAGACTGGAGTTTAACAGTGTGCAATGCTTTATCATGCCGCAGAGAGCTGAAGTCCCTAGGATTGTCATCAAAATAACTCTTGAGGGCATTCGAGTTAAATATTTCTTGTCTTATTTCCTTGAGCCGTGCTTCTCTAACAGCAATTCTTGTGACAGCTCTCCAAGCATCTCTAGCTCTGTACCTAAAGGCCTCCACTTCCTCCAACTTGAATTGATAGGCTTTCAGTACTTTCTCCTGGCCATGCTCATCATTTAAATGTTCTTCGACTTTTTCCAACAGAGGCTGTTCTCGTAAACTTACAAATGACAAAGCAGTGCCCTTGTTCTTGCCACGAGCTGTCCGTCCCACTCTATGGACATAAGAATTTATGTCTGGAGGGAAATCATAATTTATCACATTAGAAACAAATTGGAAGTCAATGCCTCGAGAAACTCCAGATTCTTTATCTTTCTTTCGTTTGCTTCTTTGTTTCTCATCCTGTTCATCAGTTTTCTTCTTTTTTCTGAAAGAATTAGCAGATAAGTAAAAATTGTAACCCCTTAGCAATTACTGATTGAATTGTTACAAACCATACTTTTTAGATGGTCCAGCCTCTTCTGGTTCATCAAGTGTTGCTTCATCAGATGCAATAATAATGTCATATATTCCTTGATTAAACTGATTCACTGAGTGGCATCGAGTAACAGCAGGCAGTTCTGAGTTAAGCACTACAGTCGGGACACCAAACTGCTCTAAAAATAGCTTTAGCCTGGGTAGTTGATGAATAACAAGTTAAAGGTCGGAATGCTAGATGCTAGATTGATAAAGTGAGATCAGCAAGAATCTTACTTGTAACACCGGTCAACATTGTTGACAAATATAATCGTTTTGCCCCGGATTAAATGCAGTTTGATGAGCGCATACAGAATAGCAGCTTTGTCATCCTCTTGGGCAGATAAATGATAGTGCTGAAGTTGAGAGGCAGGTGCTAGAGATGGTTCCTCTAGTTTCAGGATCACAGCATTGTGAAGAACCAGCTTCTTCAGCTGCAACACATCATCTGACAAAGTGGCACTGGCCAAAACGGCTTGGTAAACAGGGGGCAAAAACCTGAAATTTTGAAAATTTGTAATAAACACAAAATGTTGAAAATAATAATGAATTTCACTAAATTATGAACTAAACAAAAAGTTACCCAAGTAATTCCTTGAGTTCGGATTCATATCCATGTGAAAAAATTAAATCTGCCTCATCAATTACAAGAATTTCCAAACTATCTTTAAGAAGTAAGCTTCTCGCTTGTAAATGAAGAAGTGCCCGTGCTGGAGTAGAAACAACAATATCTGGCTTGCTTATGAGCAAGGGTCGCTGGACATTGATGTCTACCTGTAGCAAAAGCAACACATGAGCACAAAATTTTGAGAACTGAAAGCACCGAACAGGTATAACAGTAATGAAATAAAATTGCATTTACCTGAGGAGAAATATCTAAAATACGAACATCCCTAGAACATTTGTAAGTTAGCTGATGAAAATTTGTTGCAATTTGCTGACATAATTCTTTAGAAGGAGCAAGTACCAGGGCCTTGACTGCTTGCTCAGTAGCAACCTGAGTTAATGTAAATAAACATAATGAGAAATCAGTCAGTAAACTAAAACACTTGAAAACACTGAATACATACCAATTTTGAGTTTAATATTTTCTGAATAGTAGGAATGGCAAATGCACCAGTCTTTCCTGAACCAGTACGAGCACGAATCAGAATATCTTTCCCTTGGAGGAATAGCGGAATTGTTCGCTCTTGAATAAGTGTTGGTTCTGTCCAACCTTCTTTTGCCACAGCCTATACAAAAGAGAAGAACAAATGCCAATAAAAACTAAGCTGCATGAAACACCATAAAAGTCTCTGAAAGCCTACATATATACACTACAGACTCATGTCGATGACACCATATGACTAGAGAGGTTATCATACACGGACGGAAAAACATCTAACTACTCACCTTTAAAATTCTATCATCAATTTCCATGTCGTGAAAACTCATTGCAGGTTTTTCCGTCATTTTGGACTAATCACTAAATTAAAATTACGATCGAGGCAAGACGATTTTGCTTCAAATTAGCTTCAAACGTGGGTTCCTTCCTTCTTGAAAGTTTTCGTGTTGATCTACAATCTGAGCATCCTGCCATCTGTTACATCACACAAAGCACTCAGCAGATTTAGGTGGGTTTTTTGATATGAGAAATTTTAAAGACGCGACGTTGTTGAGATGTTGCCAACAGCAAGTTTGTCAACATTACTATAGTTTAATCAACATCAAGCGGTAAGTTTGCTTACAACGATTTATCGCTTTCCAAACTTTGAATTATGATAGTTTGGTCGGCTTCCCGTCGGAGTAAATTTGCAAATTAAGAGTTGTCAAGGTAGGCTAATTTCCCTTTCATTCAATATCAAAATATCACTCCCTCTAGGTTATGGTGAATTATTACAAGTATGTCATATTTTAAAACCTCTTGAACGGGTACTGTTCTTCTTAATTTCGAGTGAAGGGTTAGTTATGTCCCCCTTTTTTTACTTTCCGTTTAAGTACTCCTGATGTTGTTTTCTCGGTCATTATCACACTTCTAATACTTTTGCTTCTAACTATTACTTTGCTCAGCTGTCTTCATTGAAGATGTCAGAGGACAGTAGACAGAGTGCTGCCGGTCCCAACGAGGAGGAAGCCTCACCATGTCATTCACCAACTCCATCCTTGACACCTTCATTACCTGCATCAATACCAGCTGCAACAACTCCAGGGATTCCAACAGCTCCTGACACCCCATGCTCTGAGCACTCTGCTGCAGGGTCTTCAACTTCTCCTCGCAGTGAAATTGGAGAGCCACCCAGACCTAGGCTATCAGTCAGTGAGCTTGAGTCGGTGTCCCTGCCTGAGCTGATCCAATACTGGAAAGATTTAGACGTCTATACCGAATGGCTCGACAACCAAGCTGCCAACCAGGAAGGTATGTTCTGACTTTCAAAAAAGAGTCAACATTATATTGTCCAGATAAATCGTTTGAAAGCTGAATTCTTCTTTTCTAGTTGAAAATGCAAGTCTTCAGGCTTATGTAGAACGTTCTAAGCAACAGCATCATGAGGCATGTTCAAGAGAAAGAGCTGTTATTCGACGCTTGGCAACAAAGGAACAAGAAGTACAGGAACTCATGGCACAAATTACTGATTTAAAAACAAATGCAACTCCATCTGCGGGAAGTCTTCGCTCTGCATTTCTAGATCCAGCTGTGAACCTTCTTTTACAAAAGTTAAGAACTGAACTTGCCACAGCCAGAGCACAGTTAGAAGAAACTCAAAATGAACTCAGCGCGTGGAAATTCACACCTGACAGTAATACAGGCAAACGGCTAATGGCCAAGTGTAGACAACTATATCAAGAAAATGAGGAACTTGGAAAACAAGTTGCCAGTGGTAGAGTAGCAAAACTGGAGGGAGAACTGGCTCTTCAAAAAAGTTTCAGCTTGGAGGTCAAAAAATCTCAATCAGGTAAGTTTTTCTTTAATTCTCTCAAAATTCAGTACAACAAGAAACATTCAATCATGCCTGTGTTATTATTTCTTTATCCCTTTTTATAGAGTTGGATGAGTTTCTGCAAGAGCTTGACGAGGATGTTGAAGGTATGCAAAGTACTGTGTACTACTTGCAGCAGGAGCTGCGAAAATCTCGAGAAACTATATCTTCATTAGAACGGAAGTTAAACAAATATCGGAAGGTCAAAGCCAAAGACAAAAATGCAAAGTTAATCACTGATGAAGAGGGAAACCAAATTGAAGAGGACGGCAAAGATGAAGATGAAGCCGAAAATGAGTGCGAGTCAGAAGCAGATGACCAGAAAGATTGGAAAGATACAGGAGAAAATGATGAAGGGGAAGCGTGGGGTGATTGGAAAGAGGGTGAAGAAGGTGAGGACTGGCACCAGTGGGAGGACGAGGAGGAGGAGGGTGATTATCCAGAGGAGAGCACAAGAGATTGGTTGGAAGACTCCAAAGAACCGACTAATGGGGTCGATTCCAATCAAGATTCAGCTCAAGATGAATCAGGAAATTCCCCTAGAAATATCTGTGCAGGTTTGAAACGGACTAAAAGTTCTGAGGATCTAGATGAAAAGTTTGACACACCCATGCGCAAGAAAATTAAACCGTTCTCAACCAGTGACAGTACAAAAGACGGCTCTATTGTAGAGGGTTTAGATGAGAGCAACAATGAAAAAAATGATGAAAATGTATAATAAGTGTCCTAGATTAATAATTTAGGGAAGAATCAGGATTTTATATTTTATCAATTTCTTCTACAATCGTGACTTTATCACAAAGTTATTTTACAACTTTAAAAGGTTGCAACTTTCTTTGACATAGAGCCATGTTATTTCATGTACTTCATGTGGCAATGCAAGACAAATGTAATTTTGCATTTCTCTGGTATGTTCAGGTAATGAATAAGAATCAATAACTAAGAATTGTTATGATTTGTCATATTAATTTTGAGAAAGATGTTTTTTTGTTTTAGAAATTTGTGATATTGATATGATTATAATATAAATGTAGTATACCCATTTAATTACACTTTAAGCAAGTGAGTCTTGAATACTGTAACAAGAAAATCCTACTTGTTTATTATTTCCCAGAATTTGATAAAACTAGCTGTGACACACCTGTTTTGAAAACATCCAAAGAGATTTCTCCATTTTTATTGTGCGATCAATTTGACTGACAGTTTACGGTAAGAAGTTGTTTATTTATTTAACAAGTTTGACTCAACTATGTATCAACTTCGATGTGTTTTATGTATGCTTTCTTGTGACATGGAGTAATGTTTGACAGGAGAGAAAGATTTTTGACATTGTATTTAGTAGAGCAGCAGGGAAATATTGTATGATGGGAGTACAATTCTTCCATCCATGTTGGATAATGATGATTAACTATCCTTATTTTCTACCAAGGCTAAAACATCAAATAAATTTACTTTGTTTTTGGTTGAAATTTTGACTTTGAGCCCCTTTCTTTTCTTTAAGTCCTTCGGCATCCGCAGGCGCAATCTTCCATAGCCGTGGCCTTGAGCTGCCTCCTTTACGCCGGTGTTTTGTTTTTCTGTCCTTTAGACCTAACCTGTAAATTTTGGCCGACGGCTGACGGTCCCTTGATTTTGTCAGCAAGTTTACTAATAGTTCCAGGTGAGTTTACCCCCGTTTGCGTTTGTTTAAGTAAAAGTGAACAGCGCAGAGTAGGATTGAATGCGGAATTTAAAATCTATGCCTTTCAACAACCTGCAACCTCTGATGTAAAGTCCCTCTAGGGAGACCATCCCTTTCTGCAAGTGCAAGTAGATCTTCTTTTAATCGATATTGTGTTAGCTCACTCGTCTTTCACCCCCTATGTCCCATCATTTTACCGATTTCTGTTTATCTTAATAATATAATTGTTCTCATGATTCATTGGATGGATTTTTTTGTCATCAAATGTCCCTGATGGCCATTGGGTTGGGTTAGGGAATTAAACACAGACAATGTCCATTCCTAAGTCACATCATCTGCGAGCTCTAAAATAGAAACATTGTTTGTTCATTTCAGTCTTTTAACTAATGTATTTGTGCCATTGATGTTTACAGGCTGATCCGTCTTCACCACTTATAATGGAGGAGTACACAAGAGAACCATGCCCCTGGCGAATCATGGATGACATTGGCGGAGCATTTGCCATGGGAGCCATTGGAGGAGGAGTGTTTCAAAGTTTTCGAGGTTTCCGTAACGCCCCTAGTGGTCTCTCAAGACGCTTGGCTGGAAGCTTATCAGCTATACAACAAAGGTCACCAGTAATTGCAGGTAGCTTTGCGGTGTGGGGAGGCATGTTTTCTACATTTGATTGTAGTTTGGCACACTTGCGCAAGAAAGAAGATCCATGGAATTCTATTTTGAGTGGTGCACTGACTGGTGGAGTGTTAGCAGCAAGAAGTGGGCCTGGTCCAATGGCAGCAAGCGCTGCTGTCGGTGGTCTCCTATTAGCTCTCATTGAAGGAGTTGGCATTTGGATGACTAGAATGACAGCTGAGCATTTTCAGCCCCAAATGCCTCCCCCTGCAGATGCTCAGCCACCTCCCTTTTCAGGAATGCCACTAAGTCCATCAAGTCAACAATCTGAGTTCCAATAGATATTAGTGCTGTTGAATCATCTATTTCATAAGTGATTGTGAAAGAAATCTGTAAATATTTAGTTTTCCCCTTCCCTCACTTTTTTTTTTACTTTGCAAGTAATTATAAGCCATAGAAGTTTATAATTGAGTGTTAATTTGTAAGTAGTTGAAGAATTTGCTACAAACTTAAGAAAATGTAGAAAAATGTTGCCCTCTGTTCCATTACTTGCTGTTGCTCAGATTGACACTTGGCTCTGAGCAGGTTGGAGGAATGAATGTGTGTAATTGACTTCACTGGGGAAGTCTCAAGTGAATGTTTGTGGAAACCAAATTTTGATATTAGACAAGAGACCCAAACTTTCATGTTTGCAGATTAAAATTTGAATTGAATTGTATTTGCTTGAGTACACACCTCTGAAATGCTGTGATGAAGTTTAAATGTCTTATTTCATTATTAATGAAAATATGATGAACATCTTTGTGTTAGCTTGAAATTTTTATGGGTCTCTTTCTCGTTACAAAAATTGAAACCTTTTTGAGTAGTTTTATGTTTTGATGTTTGCTTCATGACTTTCAGCACGAGAATTTGAGTATTTTTACAGTCATCTGTTAATCAGTACAAGAGAGTTGTGGTAAAGGAATATGTAATTTATGGCAAATTGACTAGCTCATATTTGATGTTAGTATTATGCTATTTGTTATTAAAAATATTGCAAGTGCATTCTATGATTATCTCTATCAAGGGTCCCACACTTCATTATGTTGTAAAATGTGTACAAAAACAACAGAACCTCCAAAAAAAGAAAAAGCTGCCAATTTACACATTAAATAGGGTCATTTTAGATAAGTAAATAAGACATTTGTTTACACACCTCTATATGTCATAAAACTAACAATGTTAAAATTTCCTCATAAATCTAAAGCTGTCAGAAGCGGCAGACAATCACAGATAGTTACAGCAATTAATGAGTTGTGAAACAGGTTGTTCTCAAAAGAATTACTTAAAAGATGCCTCCAGCTATTTACTTTGGATTTTACCTCACTCGTCTCATTTTTATCACCTGATACTTTAAAGGAATTTACCTCAGCACTGTAATGTTTTCTCCAAAGATTACCAATAGTTCTTGGTGTATTCTTCTGTGTCTGGTCTCTCTGAGAATCCTGTTTGCCCCCTTCCCTAACAATATAATGGTTGGTATTTTTCAGAAAAGTTTTTGCCAGGCTAAACACAAAGTAACCCAACTCAAGCTCCTCCAAATAGCTCTGCATTCTACAAATCAATTCATTTTCCTGATGGAAAGTAAACCCCTCAGATTGCTCAAAACTCATGTCGCTCCAATGGACAAGTTGAGCAAGGTCTTCGATTTTTCTGAAGACACTATCAAGGGTTTGGATCCAAAAATTAGTTGCATGTGACAGCTGAAATAGCATGACTGTCTGGTTTTCTCTTAGATAATAATCATCCTG